GTTATCATCACTGGGTTTTCCAAGGCAGAATGTCCTGAACAGAAAGTGCATGTGATCTCTGTTGGAAGTAGCTTTGTTGGGTAATTAAATGGTCCTGTGGGATCTGTCACTTCTGCTGGATGTTTGGATGGAACTTTTTTACTCTGAGTGGTCTGTTACTGGATACCTGGGCTGTATAGTGGGTTGATCTGTCACTGCAGCAGGTGATCTGCTTTTGTCTCGAATAAGTGTGTCTGAGTTTGAAATAAGTGCCATTTTGCAATGCTTCTATGCACACAAGACATTCTAGGCTTAGCACAAGGACAATGGCATGAGTTAGTCTTTGGCTTGTAGGTCACCATAATTCTTCCAAGATGAAAGATGAAGCTTCTTCACTGGCTCATAAATGGATAGGCATTTTGTTTGGGAGGAGCCACTGAGTATTACGTCTACAGACAGAGGTACATGAGCTGACATGGCTGCTTTCTGTCTTTTTAAGCACAGACTCTTCTTTGGTCATCAAATATCTTATGATGTACCATTTCATCAAGAACTCCTTCTTTAAGGAACTCTTCACTTGCAGTGTGAGAACAATAGTCAAGTGAAGGAATGTGTTCACGGTGGCTGAAAACACATCCACTCTGTAATGATAGAAGCTGGTATTGGTGACAGTCGTCTAATTCACAGCCAGTGAAGTGTTTTTTGCCCATGTCTTTCTCTGTACGTGAACAGGTACAGAAAATCAGCTTCTCTGAACAGCACATATCTCATTGGTAGCTTTTGCTTCTGAATGTTTTCTGGAAATGTGACCAGGCAAATTCTTTTCACATACAATTGTGGTGCAGTGATGAAACTTTACTCTTTTAGGTGATGTCGTTTGAACGTCTGTGTGAGAATCAAGTGAAGAACTTGGCAGAAGACTGGAGAACGTAGAGGAAAGTGCAGGCGCAGATGATGAAACATGAGATGGGCCAACTGTTAAAGAAGGTGCTAGGGGCAAGGTAGACTCTAAATGAGTTGGAGCTTCCTTTAAGGAATGTGATGTGGACGTAGCAGATGTGCAAGGTACTTTTGCAGGCGTCAGGATGTGAGCCACACATGACGTTTCTTGACACACCTGTAAATGGCTTTCCATATTATCCCTCCTCAACATAGTTTTTGAGCATAGAGGGTAGCGATAGTGTCCTTCTGGTCTGCAGTTTTGATGACATCTGTGAATTCGATATTCAAAGCCAGATTGAAGAGCGCATCAGTGCAAAAAGAAAGAAATAGGCATACAGTAATAAATGCATTAATACAAATTCTGGAAATACAGTAATAGTGATCTGCCATGGACAGCATATGTATGTATAATTATAACAATAGATAGGTAGACAGATGCATACATACATGCATGCATGCATACATACATAAAAATAAAAAGTTTGTATTGTATGCTGGATAGCTTTGTCTTGAAGCCAATGTTTAATATTAATCAACTGTTAAAAGTAAATCTTTCTTGAGATAAAACACACTACTTAACCAAACAGCAAGCCAAGTGCAATCAATGTTAGCTGGTTAGCTAGCTAGCTAAGTTAACCCATGCCAAGTCAAACCTACCTACCCAAATTTGGTTAAAAATAAAATTATGAAATATATATGGCTACCTAGCTGAAACTTGCAAAACAGCATCTAGCATGCTTATTTCGAGTTTCAGCTAATTTAGCAGTGTACACAGCTAGCATCAGCTGATAAATTTGACAAACTGGAAAAATAAGCTATTGTAGCGACCTGCTACTACTGGCTGGCGCACAGTATCATAATTAACTAAGCAAATAAACTCCATAGCGTTCCGTCAACTACAGTTCAGATCTGTTTGTCCAAAATGTTGACTGGCTGTCAGAAGACGTAACCAACATCGAATTGGAGACCCCAGACAAACAGTGAAGAGTATCGGAGGTGGATTATACAAGTTCATCAATACTAGCTGGGCAACTAACTTCACAGTATGTGAAACTGACTGTTCTACCCACTTGAGATCATGACTGTTTCTTTTAGACCACATTACCTTCCCTGCAAATTTAGGCAAATCACAGTCATTCTGGTATACGTGCCTGGCCCAGATTATGCACTAGCAGCTGAGCGCATAGCTGATAGCTATAATAAAGTGCAATGTAATTCTGTTGATGGTCCAATCTTGTTATTGGGTGATTTTAACAGATGTATTATCTCCACCCACCTGGCAAACTTGGACCAATATGTATTGTGTCCAACAAGAATTAATAAAACTCTAGATCAGTGCTTTGTGGGGGGTGCCTATGTGTCTAGGTGCAGTATACCACTAGGTTTGTCTGATCATAATGTCATTTATCTTTTGCCAAATTATTGCCAGAAGCTAAAAAGAGAAAAACCAATTGTAAAAAATATCCAGGCCTGGACAAATGACTCAGCTGAAGAGCTGAAATGTTGCTTTGATGCCACTCAATGGGACTTATTTCTTCAATGACCAGGTCTCCGGGAACAATCCAGAGTTGATAAATTACGCTATTAGCAGTTATGTAAACTTCTTTGTTGATGCTGTCATTAAAACAACAAATGTCAGAATCTACCCAAACAATAAGCCATGAATCAATAAAGCAAAATATCATTTAAATCAGAAGGATATAGCTTTTTTGAAGACCAGCAAAAAGTGAGAGATTTGAAGAAAGAAATAAGAAGCATGGTCTAAAAAGCAAAAATGGACTATAAAGACAAGGTTGAGCATAAACTGAGGAATGGAAATGCAAAAGATGCTAGGAGAGTATTAAACACAATGATGGGAAGGAAACACAGAGTAGCCCCTCAGTGTGAGGATCCTATTCACCTCTCAAACAACCTGAATATGTTCTATTCTAGACTTGATAGACACGATTTTAGTGATGAATGTGATTCTGACTGTGCAGGAATGACACCTGCTCCCATGACACTTAAAGCAGAAGAAGTCATCTCAGTCCGCAAACGAGTCAACCCCCATAAAGCTAATGTGCCAGATGGGCTCAAGGGAAGGGTCTTGAAGGAATGTGCCATCCAACTGTCCTTACCCAGCTATTCTAGATGTTCCTTAATACCAGTTTTGTCCCCCAGGCCTGGAAAATGGCAACAATCATCCCCGTGCCAAAAACAGCCCACATAAGATCGCTTATTGCTCTATGACCTTACATCATTACTAGGCAAATGCATGGAGCTCCTAATGAGCAGGAAGCCTATATCACAAACAGCTAAGCTCATGGACCCCATGCAGTTTGCCTATCAAGCTGGTTGAGGAGTGGAAGATGCCACACTGTTTTATTTATTTTTTTTATGATAAAGTTTTTTGGTCACTTGGACCAATAAATATGTCCAGGTACTTTTTATGGATTTTTCTTCTGCTTTTAATACAGCTCAACACAATCTCCTACTTCAACGCTTATGTGATCTGAATGTCAGTAGTATTCTTGTCTTGTGGATCAGTGAGATTCTAAAAGAGAGGCCCCAACGTGTCTGTATTAACCACACTTTTTCCAACTGCATTGCCTTGAACAGTGGTGTTCCACAGGGGTGTGTTTTATCTCCCATTTTATTTTCCATATACACAAATGAGGTAAAATATAACAGTGAAGACATTTCTCTTATAAAAATGCTGATGATATAGACCTTGTTACCTGCTTGCAAGATGTTACCAGCCCCTCGCACTCTCAGTGCATCAACCATCTAGCCACTTGGTTTGATGGTAGCTTCCTTGATGTTAATGTTAACGAGACCAAGGAGCTATGTTTCGGAGGGAGGGTGTCAGCAAGCAGTGTAGGGTCTGTCTTTAAACCAGTCACCATGAAATGGCAGGAAGTGGAACAAGTCAATCACTTTAAATACCTGGAAACAATTATTGACAATAGACTTACTTTTCAGACCAATGTAGATTATGTCTACAAAAAGGCAAGGCAGAGGCTCTCTCTTCTCCGGAAGCTGAGGAGTTTTAACACCAGCAAACATACTCTGATCCTGGTCTCCAGGTCACTCATTGAGTGTTCTCAGTTTCAACATTGTGTCCTGGTACAGGAACTCTCAATTAAGCATAGAAACAAGCTGGCCTGTGTGGTCAACCAGGCCAGTAAGATCACTGGAGATAAACAACTGTCACTCCAGAACTTACACATCCGATCCATAACCAAAAAGGCAACCCAGGTCTACAAGGACCCTACGCACCTCTTTCATTCATCATTCCAGTTGCTGCCATCAGGCAGGAGATTTAAGATCCCACTACACACAGAACGAATGGGTACAAAAAATTATTTGTGCCCTCTGCTGTGAGCATTCTGAATAAGGACAAAATAAATAACCCACCTACATAGTTCATGTGCATTGTTGCTGTAAGTGTTTTTAAGTGTTTTAAGTATGTGTCTATGTATTTATGTGGCAGATTGCCAAAGACAAATTTCCATTTCATGCAAATTTAATGGACAATAAAGTTTTCTTATCTTAAATGTGCCTTTATCTGTTTCAGTTGTTGAAGCTAGTCTTTTAAACCTCTACCAAATGTTTCATCTTGTTACAGCCATCCATCTGCTGCCTCTGGTTCTCAACAGACCAGAAATTGTCCCAGGTCCTTTCATTTATAGTATCTTTATGGTATTGCTCTTTGTAATATTAGTACGTATTACACTACAACTTTTAGCACAAGACATTGCCAATATTTCAGCACAAGATATTGTGCTAAAGACATTGCTAATATGATGTATTTTAACATGTATTTGGCTCACCTGCTTTGCTTTTTTCCTTCCTTTGCAAAACTGTTTCATGAAAGCAGTAGGACTTTGAAGCTTGTGTGCTATTGTGAAAGACACAGTACACTGTTATTCACAATAACATTCTCTTTCTTGTATTGTTTTGCCTATACCTTTGCTTTTTCTTGTTACTTTGTAGAATTATTTTTGATACTGTCTGCTATTTGTTCAGGATTCTTTATCCTTATGTTTTGTATGGTAAGTGTTTGTTACTAATTTTGCTTACTTTTTTCTTCATTTTAGATGCAGTCATGAGGAATCCATCTTCACAAACTGCAAATGACAAAAAAATCGACCAGTGACCTCCACATCTGTTAAGAGCTGAGTATATTTAGGAGGTAGGATTCAGATGTTTATTCACTTGCTGTCTCTCCCATATAAGCTCACTGGCCATTTTTCTGGCATTCCTAACTTACAGACTATAGTCCATCTGTTTCTCTGTATACATTGTTACCCCCACCCCTTTTTCCATTTTTACCACAGGGACCACCACAGAGCAGATATTATTAATGGATCATTCGCAACAATGCAGTGACACTTATGTGGTGGTGGTGGTGGTGGGTTAATGTTTGTTGTGCTGGTACGAGTGGATCAGACACAGCAGTGCTGCTGGAGCTTTTCAAACATTGTGTCCACCCACTATCCATTCTATTAAACACTCCTACCTTGTTGGTCCACCTTGTAGATGTAAGGTCAGAGATGATAGCACATCTGCTGCTGCACAGTTTGTTTTGGCCATCCTCTAGTCCTTCAGCAGTAGTTGGTGGACTATTCTCAGTCCAGCAGTGACACTGAGGTGATTAAAACATTGCTGTGTCTGATACACTAGTACTAGCACCCTGACACTATGTTAATGTCACTGCAGTGCTGAGACAATAATAACTAATAATACCTACTTTGTAGTGGTCTTGGCGAGTCTTGATCTTTGATGAATGAGGTGAAAGGGGGCTAACAAAGTATGCAGAGAAAAAGATCAGCTATAATATTTAATGAACTTTGATATATATGGAATGAACATTGATATATATTGAATGAAAGTCACTGTTGAAGGGTTAAGGATGGCCAACAAAAACTGCATCAATAATTGGCATTAACAAACTCCAGGTGGAGCTTAAAGGAAGGGAATTCTGATAAGGTGACCAGTATGTGTACACAGTGATCCCTTGGACAGAGTGATCTGAGAGTGGCTGATATATGATGTGAAGCTACAGATGGGTGGATCTTCAGTATGTACATAATTTGACATGGTGCAGAAGAAGAGTCAGATGAGGCCATGATTTCTGTTTGAAAAATGCTCTTTTATTGAGAGCAAGGGAAAACAATGCCACTTGAAAAGCAACTGAAAATTGAGATAGATAACTCCTAGCCCTACTCTTTCTTCTGGTGGTCACCAAACACAAACGCACTCTCACCAACTCTGAGCTGGACACAAAATAACACAGTAAACACATACACACACTGTAACTGAAGAACAACAACACAACAACATTAAATAACAACATCAGTCTGTTTAGCAGGTGGGGGAGGGCCAAGGCTACAACACAGTTGTCCCTCTCTGTCTGAACAAAACATTTTATGAATTATATTGTTCATATATATATATATATGTATATATATATATATATATATATATATATATATATATATTTAGGGCTGCAACAAACGACTAATTTGATAGTCGAATAATCTATCAAATACTGAAACGAATAATCGATTATTCGGATTATGAATCACTACATTACCAAATAACTTTTATGTAGCTTTTAAATTTAGCTTGAGGTTGTTTTATGCATTTGCTAACTAACAATGCAGACAATGTAGATGAACTTTCCTGCTAATACAAAAGATAAAAAAATAAAACTCCAATGTATTTTTCCTGTCAAAATTTATAACCAAGGATGTGCAAAGTAGCAGCAATAAAACAAAACTAAATCATTTTTTCTTTAATCAAGTAAATAAAAAAAAAAATCTAAATTTAAATGTTAAATTTAAACAGTGCAGTCTGTGCTCGGTGCGTTCTGCTGTCTGTCTACACTTTGCTGCAACTAAATTTTACATTCACAGGTCTTTATTGAAACAGAGGAAAGTCAGCATCTCTCTGTGCTCCTGTGAGATTCTCGCTCTCCTCTGAGAGCAGATACTCCCCGCTGCAGAGAAGACGCGCTCTAATGGAGCGGATGGGAAAGTGTCGAACGTTTGTGGCAAACTTCTCTATAAATAGTTAAATGTGAACGATTTTCTGTAAACGCTTCATTTCAACGGTAACCCCTTGTCCAGCTACCCTGTGTGTTCACGGAGAACTAACTCCTTAAACTTGGCGAGTGGAGCTAAAGGTTCGCGGAGAACAGAAAACTGTTAGGAAACGCTCTCCTGTGTTCGCCGAATTTAAACGCACCGGTGGCCTCGACGTTAAGACGACGATGCAGTGTTTAAAAGTGTAAACACACACACACACACACACACACACACACACATCATCTAAGCCGCTTCTTCTTATGGGTCGCAGGGGGTGCTGGAGCCTATCCCAGCTGTGAAAAGGGTAAACATTATCTGGAAAGTGAACAGGGTCGCTGTGAATAACACTTACTTGCTTCTCTGTTCCAACTCCGTTAACGATTCCAGAGAACACGCATTTCGAAATACAAATGTTACAGCTCAGCTCAAAACATGAAGTAGGACGGAATTTAACATTAGCTAACTAGCTCGCTATCACAACTATCGCCGCGTCCCAAACCACACACTACACCAATGAGTGCACTTTTAATGGTATATGCGCTATTTTTACACACTATTTAGTGTGCTATTATGCGGTTTGGGACGGGGCGTATCTTACCGAGATGAATCTTCTTCGTCCAGTGAGCCGACAAGTTTCCTCTTCAGATGCTCCAGCATGGAGGGTGTGCTCCCGTGCCAGCTAAGGTCGGCTTTACAAATAGAACAACTGACAACATTTTTTCTAAGTTTAGCTCCCGAACTTTTTAGGATTTTGTTCTTGAGGCTGCCATCGCGCTGTTGTTAAGTCTCCAGTAAGCGGTAATGTCAATGTTTCTAGAGAGCGCGAGAAAGACGCGTAGTGACGCCACCTACTAATCGACTACTAAATTAGTTGGCAACTAATTTGGTCGTCGATTTTAGTCGACTAAGTCGAATAATCGTTGCATCCCATATATATATATATATATATATATATATATATATATATATATGTATGTATATATATGTATGTATATGTTCATTGTATATTTGTATATCACAGTTCATTCAAAATATATATATATATATATATATATATATATATATATATATATATGAACTTTAATATATATGGAATTAACATTGATATATATTGAATGAACTGTGGTATATATATAATGAACCTTGATATACATGGATCGAACATTGAGATGAATGAATAATATAATTCATAAAATGTTTTGTTCAGACAGAGAGGGACTTTTGGGGTTGTGTTTGTTGTAGCCTTGGCCCTCCCCCTCCTGCTAAACAGACGTTGTTATTTAATGCTGTTGTGTTGTTGTTCTTCAGTTACAGCGAATGTATGTGTTTGTGTTATTTTGTGTCCAGCTGAAGAAAGAGCAGGGCTAGGAGTGACCTATCTCAATTTTCAGTTGCTTTTCAAGTGGCATTGTTTTCCCTTGCTCTCAATAAAAGAGCATTTTTCAAACAGAAATCATGGCCTTATCTGACTCTTCTTCTGCACCATGTCAAATTATGTACATATTGAAGATCCACCCATCTGTAGCTTCACATCATATATCAGCCACTCTCAGATCACTCTGTCCAAGGGATCACTGTGTACACATACTGGTCACTTTATCAGAATTCTCTTCCTTTAAGCTCCACCTGGAGTTTGTTAATGCCCATTTATTGATGCAGTTTTTGTTGGCCACCCTCAACCCTTCAACAGCGACTTTCATTCAATATATATCAATGTTCATTCCATATATATCAAAGTTCATTGTGTATATATATATATCAATGTTTATGAAATATTTCCTGTTTGGCTTGCCGTAATATATATATATGTTTATTTACTTTATTTATTTAAGTACCTGCTATTCCACTCGATTTGTTTGAATTGTGTTCAAGTTATATATATTTTGTTTAGACAGTTAATGCAATTGTTTCTAAAGAATTTCTGGTGTAATCAATTAATGTATGCTTACCTGAGCAGGTAAGCTTTAGGAAGTGTTAACTTTTCAAGACATGATGCTGTATATAGTGGCTTAATATATGACAATGCATATATTACGGTGGCAGATTATTGATTGATCAGCTGTGTTCACCTGTGTTGCACTTGTTCTCCTCTTTGCTTAAGACTAGTTGTACTTAGTACAATAAATATTCTTATGTTAGCTAAACTAACTATTTTTGTGATATAAGTCAATATAACTAGTAATTTACAGAAGTTGAGCGAACAAGATAAATCTAGGGGAAACTGGTATTAAGATTTTTTTTACAGTGTAAAATGTTAAGTTAGTCACTTAACTAACTAACTTAACATAGCTCGTAGTCTCTCAGATAGCCGTCAGTGTAGAACAGTCATTTGCTGACAAACCAGGGCCCAAGGCCAGGCAGCAGACAAACACGCTAAACCGACCATCTGCTAACTGCCTTGAGACGCCACATAGATTCCACCCAATTGAGACCGTGTCTGTTCCCCGAATAAAACAAAGCATCAAAAAAAAACCTTTGTTCTAGTAATTTGATTAATATCAGACCATTTATACTAGTTTGCAGTGACAGCACCTTTGGTCTGAAACTAGGATTGTTTAACATAAGATCTCCTACATCTAAGGCTGTTGTTGTATATGAAATTATAACTGATCATGATTCTGTTGCTCTGTGCCTCACAGAAACATGGATTAGACCTGATCAATACTTTGGTCTAAATGAAGCCACCCCCACGGGCTACAGTTATGTGCATAGCCCTCGTTTAAGCGGCCAGGGTGGAGGTATAGCAACCATCTATACAAAAGCTTTAGCCATGAGTCAGAAAGTAGGCTACAAATTCTCTTCTTTTGAAATTCTTTTTCTTAACATAAGTGATCGGGGAACAAATAAGAATTCCTTTTAACTAATTACAATCTATAGGTCACCATGGATGTATTCTTAGTTCTTACAGAAATTTTCAGGCTTTCTATGAAGTTTAATAATGTTTTTGAATAAAGTAATAATTGTCAGAGAATTTAATATCCACTTTGATAAACCACAAGATCCACTACATAAGCCATTTATATCTATCTTAGACTCTGTAGGTTTCACTCAAAATATAAGGGGCCCACTCATTATTGCAGCCACACTTTAGACTTAATTTTGACCTTTGGTGTAAACATAGGTCATTTCTCCCCAGAGCACAGCAATATCAGATCATTACTTGATCTCATAAGAAATTTGCTTTAGTCGTAATATACGTTCATCAACATGCTATCATGTTAAGCGGACTATAGCTTCAAGGACTGAACTGAAACCCCCCCTCACACACATACTCTACACTCATATATACACACACACACGTGCGCGCTCCTCTTTTGATGCTCTATTTGCATCTGGATCATTGCTGCTAATACTGTGTTTACACTTTGTTTACTTAAGTACTGTGTACATCCTACCTCAGGAACTGCTGTGCTTATGTATGTTATCTGACTGTGTATACTCACAGATCACAGCATGTTAAATATCTTTGAACCTTATTCTCACTACCTCATGCCCAGAAGTGAGTGCTGTGTCGGTGTTGCACTGCCCTGTCTGTTTACTGTGTCTAATGTCTGTTTTATTATCGTATTTATTGTATTGTATCTAGTTAAATTTTTTTGTACACTTACTTTGTACTGTCTGTTTTGTTCCATGTTGCACCGTGTTCCTTGGAGAAACATAATTTCACTCCACTGTGTACTTGTACATAGGTGGAATGACAATAAAGCCTCTTGACTTGACTTAATCAAACTGTAATCAGTCACTCTTTACAGAACTATCTGTGGAGAAGGGGGCGTGGCCGAGCGTCAAATGCGGGATGGAGAAGCTGGTCTGGCTGAACCAGCGGGCTAAGTAGCTGATTATGTTCATCTGGGCCTTGTTTCTGCCAGCCTACTTATAGCCATCTTTTCGTTCAGTAGGTGGCAGAGTCCAGAGAGAGAAGGAAACGTATGAAGGCGTGAGAGCTGAGCTGAACTGAGCTGAGCTAAACCAGAAAGAAAGAAAAGAAAGTACTGAAAAGTCCCAGCGAGCGTCTTGTCTTACTTTGTTGGCTGAAAAGCTGAGTGTTTTGCGTTGTGTATAAATAATAGTAAAAAAAAGCTCTCTGTCTTCACACCTGCCCCCGGCGTCTTTCCTCCACCCATCGTTCAAGTTGTTACACTATCACTCTGTGTGTTTTCTGTTTCTTTGCCGAGTTGAACAGCTGCCCATCCTGTGCAGTCTGACACTGTTGCTTCTTCTTCCTTAAACTGGTGCCCACTGCTCGTCAGCCTTCTGGACCGGTTTGATCACCATGGAGCTTCTCGCTGTATAACACTGTGCAGACCTCACCTGCATGAACTGACCCTTCTGATAATACTGCAGCTGCAGCTGCACAGACTCAAACTATCTAATTATAATCATTGCTTCACCTGTTTTTCCCCGTTTCTGTATTTTATACTAACGCTATTTGCTATCCGGTGTTGACCAGAAGAGGATGGGCTCCCCTTTTGAGTCTTGGTTCCTCCAAAAGTTTCTTCCTCTTGCTCTTAGATTTAGAGAGATGTGGTTGCAAAGGTGCACTTGATGGCTGCTAGGCTGTTTCAGGATGTATACTATGTATACTTGGTTGCTGGGGTTTTTCTAGGTTGTTGCTAAGGTAAAACTAGTTTGTTGCCAGATAGTGCCTTGTGATCATTAGGGTGTACTAGTTAGGATGTCTGATTGACTGGAGGCATCTGTGCATTTAGGCTACAATTTGACAGAGTGAAACAAATGCTGATGATGGCTTAGCGTTGAAATGTGTTTTTGTTCTACCTTTCACAACCATACTCTATCAATTATAAAAGTGACTGGTGAAACTGTATTCCAGAATGCTGGTTTCTCCAATAAATACTTCATTGGAACTCTAAGCCCTGTGTTTATCTTTGTGCAGGCTTCATGCTCAAGCACTGCGTCAATCTGAACCTTTGCTTTGTTTCTGTTTTCTGCCTGAGGGAGGGTCATGCCAGTCCACAGTGAACACCTGATGGTCAACATGCAAGTCCTTAGTCACAACTAGTGACAGTACACATTTTAAGTTCCAGTCATTATCCAACATCATGTCCGTGTGAGACTCTATCCCATGTTGAGCAGCCTCTTCGGTCAAGTCTGGATTCAGTGACTCATTATTCTTGATCAACCAGGGCAAGTGGCTAATTTTTTTATGATATTTATTCATTCCATCGTGGATTATCCTTCATGTATATGGACACATGCTGTTTTTCAACATCTCAACACTCCTCTGTGAGTGTCCTGGACAAGTTTTTGGCAGAACTCATACATGCAGATTTATACATGTTTAAGGGGTGATCTCCAAATTCTCAGAATGGATCACAAGTAAGATGCTTGATTAGATTAATTCCTCTACATGGTTGTAATTTGAAAACTTGGTATTTTAAATCAATTACGAATAATATTTTGGCCCTCCGGTTGTCTGATTTGCCCCTCTTTAAGAAAAAGTTTGGACACCCCTGACATCAAGGGTGACAGCATCCGTCTGAAACAATATGTTAATATCCCTGTTGAAAGTGGGGGAGAAGCATATCTCTCCAAACAGAAGTTTCTTTTGGATTTAAAACCAGCTAGTATATGCCCTGCAAACATACTGAACTATAATGCTGTTCATAGTGAGCACTAGTTGTCTGAAAAAACTTGCAAGATGGGGATGTCCAGATGAGCCTGTTACAGACAACGGACCTCAATTCAGTGGGAGTCAGTTTAGACAATTTGCTGTGGATTATGATTTTTGCCACATCGCTAGTAGCCCACACTACCCTCAGACAAACGGAAAGGCTGAGCGTGCTGTTCAGACAGCCAAGAAAATCCTGAGATAGAAGGATCCATTTTTTGCTTTGATGCCCTGAGCTACAGGGCAACACCCCTTCAGACAACAGGTTCAAGCCCTGCACAACTTCTGCTTGGATGCCAGTTCAAGACCACTGTGCCTATGTTGGAGAGAATTTTAACCCCAAAATGGCCAGATTTCACGCTGGTCAGAAGAACAGATGAGTTATCAAAATGGCGCAATAAACGTGCGTTTGACAGATGACACAATGTACACTTGCTTCCAGCTCTTAGACCTGGGGAAGAGGTTGCAGTAAAACTGGATGGAGAGACAGGCTGGACTAAGACAGCAACTGTAGTTCAACAGCATCCAAGTCTGTGATCATACCTGCTTGAGATGGAAAAGGGGATCCTCAGACAGAACAAGTGTTATCTTCGTTCACTACCTTCCCCAGATTTCCAGCCTGTTCAAGTGTTGGAATCAGGAGAAGCAGAAACAAAATAAGAAAGAAAAAAGAAAACTGAGCAACACCCATCTTGCGATGCTTATCAGTTCCAGAGGCAGAGTCACTGGTTTCCCTGAAAAGTTTAAGGACTTTGTAGTTAACACATAGCTTGCTACATGAGGCACAATAATCCTCACCTGCTATGGAGGTGAGCCAGCTGTCTACCAGGAAAATCCTCAGGTTAGGTTTGCATTTGTGAACTTTGTGTCTGTGTTGTAGAATCTAGCAATCCTTATTTACTCTCCTAAATTCTTGTTTTCATATATTTGCTAATGAATACATATAAAACTCAACAGAGAGGGGGATGTAACATAATAAACTATAATGCTGTGCATAGTGAGCACTACTTACCTTACATGTCCATGCGCCCCAGATAATATTACTAAAAATATAGCCAAGGTGAGAGAGACTTCCTGCAGAATATGTCATGTAAAGAAGAGCAACAGTTCTGTTATCTAAAAAAAAAACTGTATATTGACCGAATAAAGTTTGTGTTACTTAGCTCAGATGGTGTCCTCCGGCATAAAGAAGAACCATCCTACATGCCCCTTCATGAACTGCTTTTTGAAAGGGTATTTTAATTCCAGAAGTAACTGCTTCCACATGCACAGTAAATTCTTTTGGAGTTTTCTTTTTGAAGTATACTGTATTTGTATGTAGATATGCAAGAGTCCACTTTCAGTATCAACTCTCTGACTAAACAGTAAGGATTTCTTTTCATATAAATTTATTATTCCAAATATAAATGTGTGAAGTAAAAAGTTGGACAACTTTTAAGAGGGTTTTTAAAATCTTACTATCACAAAGTAAGATGAAATTAAGACCACCATGTTTATAGTATATATAAATATAGGTGGAATTATTTCTGCTTATTCCCATTGATGTTAAACTACAAAAGCCACCTATCTGATACCAAGTATGGGTACTGGGCCTACATCAAGCAGTGTGCTCAAACAAAGGCTGAGCTAGAAAAAGTGAAATAAAAGATAATCAAAAAGACACTTCCTCTGTGATTATGAGAAGAAGGTCAGCTTTATGTTTCGCCTCTTTGTGGAGCAAACACTTGTGTATGGCTTGGAGCCGTTCCTTGTTTAAGCCTTCTTTTTGGCCTTTTAAGTAGTTTTGAGGCAGTTTTTCTCTTTTGTTTTTTCCAGCCCTCTTTGCTACCCCACAAACAGCGGGAGTCCAGGAGGCGACGCACTGTGTATCCCGGGGAGCCAGCAATGAGACGCAGTGTTCCACAGAGGAACGGCCTGAGGCGCGACACATGAAATGTGGGGTGGACCCACATGGAGGGCGGAAGGCACAACTGGTAGGTGACCGGGTTAATTCATTGGTCGACCTTAAATGGCCCCATGTATCTAGGTGCCAGCTTCTTCGACCCCACATGGAGTGGGAGATCCTTGGCCGAGAGCCAGACCCGCTGGCCCAGCCGGAAGGTGGGTGCTGGGCGCCTCTTACGGTCTGCCACCTGCTTCCTGGGCTCGGTGGTGGTCAGGAGGGAAGCATGGGCCTTTCGCCAAGCCCTCTAGAAATGCTGCGCAAATTGCTCTGCAGCAGTGTCCCCAACCTTGTACTCCTCTTCAGCAAACATGGGCGGAGGAAACCCAAACTGGCATTCAAAGGGCGACATTCCCAGGGATGAATGCTGGAGAGTGTTATTGGCATATTCTGCCCAGGGTAGATACTCTGCCCAAGAGGAGGGGTTGGTGGAGGTCAAGTACCGCAAGGTCTGGGCAAGGTCTTGATTGACTCCTTCAGTCTGGCCATTGGACTCCGGGTGGAAGCCAGAGGAGAGACTCACAGAGGCTCCCATGAGCTGGCAGAAGGCCTTCCAAAAACGGCTAGCTAACTGGTCAGACACCAGATCACCAGGTATCCCGTGAATCCTGACCAGGTGCTGTAATAGATGCTCCACTGTCTCCTTGGCAGACAAACACTTGGGCAGTGCCACAAACTTGCATGCCTTAGAGAAGCGGTCTACAAGGACTGGGTTGACCATTTTGCCCTTGGAGGGGGTAGGCCTGTGAAAAAGTCCAGGGAGACATGAGACCATGGACGCACAGGGATGGGCAGCGGGTAGAGGAGACCTTGGGGCTGTGACCTGTGCGCCTTGCAGCGTGCACATGTCTCACAAGATGCAATAAAGGCACGGAGGTCTCTCTCCATACCAGGCCACCAAAACCGCCTTGCGCAAAAAGTCCAGGGTCCTAGTCACCCCTGGGTGACCTGAAAATAGGGAGGTGTGCCCCCATAGCAGGATCCGTTGCCGGACAGCTGCAGACACGTACAGCTTTCCAGGGGGACCACCTCCGGGATCGGGCTCCTGCTGCAGGGCTTCCCTGATGGCGGTCTCCAGCTCCCAACGGAGTGGAGCCAGGATCCAAGGACCGGGAATTACGGGTTCAGAGGAGTGGTCAGGCCCCGGAGCCGCCCACTGTCTGGACAGGGCATCTGGTTTGGTGTTCTTGGAGCCTGGCCTATAAGACAGCTGGAAGTCAAAGTGGCTAAAGGACAGCGCCCATCGGGTTTGGCAAGCGTTGAGCCGCTTTGCCTGTTGGAGCCAGGTTCTCATGGTCTGTCCAGACCACAAAGGGATGTTTAGACCCCTCAAGCCAGTGCCTCCATTCCTCAAGGGCGAGCTTCATGGCCAGAAGCTCCTGTCTCCAACATCGCAGTTGCTAGGGCTAGGTACTGTACAGGTCACCCCTCTACAAAGGTGTGACACAGGGCTGCCGTTTGCCACGGCCTTAAGTAGAGGAGTCCACAGCTGTGCCAGGTTGGGCCTAATCAGCCTGAGGGCTTCTAGGAATTGGAGTTCCCTGAACTTGTGGCGCCTCACTGCCATCGCCCTCTGCTGGCAGCCGACGGCACAGGGGAACACAGCTGAGCAATCAATAATCTGGCACAGTTCTAAGAAAATAATGTCATACATATGTACTGTGTTATGTCTTGTAAATATAACAGTTCTTAAAGCTCACCTCAGCTCTCCATAGTTTAAATCACCTTAAATCTCAATGTTTCATTCCACAATTTGAGGACCTATGAATAAAAGCCAACTTCAGCTTCATAAACAAACAAATATGTTTATTTTTCAATGGTAAGAAACAGAAATACTTTTCCAAATGCACTGTGTGCTCTGTTGAGTACCCCTTAACAAAACCTCATCCAATCCACACGACTCATGTGAATGGCCTATTTTACTATTTAAAATGGTGAATGTCGCGAAAAGTCAATGAGTTTTCATATATAAGCATGCACCCCCATTTTAAAAAGTTACAAAACTGTTCTTTCTCAATGGCTTTTACAGCCAGTGAATAATCAATCATAAGAGAGGAAAACAAAGACATACTCGTAGTGACATTTAGGTAAAGTTTAAACATCAATCAAAGACAGACGTATTTACTTTGAGTGATTACGATTACACTGGTAGCAAAGATCAACAGAAACAAACCAGCAACATGCTAGAGGAAAAAAAGTAAGTAGATGTAGTGAACTTAGATGTCATTACAAGAATACTGGATCTGGCTAGCTAACTTTACTGTATTCTAAAGTCATAAATATTGCTGTTCTATGAACATGATCAATACTAACATGAATTTCTAAGGATTCCAATAAAAAACAGCAGCTGTCCAGCATTGACCAAGACTTTGATGACAACACAGAAGTGATAAATATCAAAAGAAAGTTTTATTACTATTTTGATGCATATTCTTTATTATGTCTTGTACAACAGTTTGTCCCAACCTTACAGTCTGGTTGAGAAGCGTTCTAACTGTTCTTATATTTGTGATAACAGCGTGGCTTTTTTTTACACCAAAACTGTAACGTTATCACTCCACTGATGAGTTGGCAAAGTAACAAGCTTTGTGCAGACGAACCTTAGTTGTTTTGTATTTGTGCTTATACAAAATGAGCAATTAATAAAATGGATGATTTTAAGATAACATATGAACTGTACATTTTATTGAACTACAAGTATTTGTTTTACGTCTGTACAGTGATGATATTGCCGTCTGTACAGTGACGATACACTGTACACTGTCTGTAGGTGAAAAGTCTTGAGATGTTTTGGCACTATTGGCTTTCGATAAAAGAAATACTTGTAACGTGTGCACGCGCAAAATATTTCCATGTGCAAAATAGTTCCATGTACGATCAAGCATGATCGTACACAGATAAAAAATTTTGACACCTGTGCATGTGATTTTTTTATTATTATTTTAATAGACTCTAAACAAAGCTATGCTTTTGAAATTTAAGACACCAGATGTTCTTTTTTTCTGCATCTGTCTCTTCACTGATGAAAAGAGACCATTAGAACCATTAGGAATAAAACCTGATGGTTTTGCTTTCTAATGGGAATTATCTTAAAGGTTACCATTAGAGACCACTAGTTTTCTGTAGGACACCTTTAGATCCCATTAGGAAACCATCAAATGCAGTCCCTGAACACCTGTTAAACCAGTAGAGTCCTTGACACTGTATCAATCCATCAGGAAAACACTAAAAGTAGTTATGTTATAACTGAAGGTTGGGGGAGGAGCAAGACTGAAACCCCTCCTTCTTCCAATCTAACACCCTATAAATTCACATCCTCTCCATCCAATCTTGTGACTGTTTGCAGTCCCCACCGCCAACCTATCTCCTTCCTGTTCCTCAGTCCAACATCAGTCTTACTAAAGCTATCTGGGATCTGGGATCTGGCCATCTAGCCACAGGCAGAAGATGCCCAGAATTCCAGCCCAAGTTCCCCCCTCCTTCAACCAATCTTCCCTCATACTACCACCACATGTTACTCCTTGTCTGAACTCACAAAATACCATTAGACACTATTGGACACCACCAGGAACCAACGGAAAGTTTTAATGGTTGTGGTAGAGTGGACTCGAAGTGGCCTGGACCTTGTTGGCATGTTTAGAAGAAGTCTGAGCAGAAGGCTGGTTAAATGGTTCTCTTTCCTCGTTTCTTTATTCCACACACATTATAAAAATACAAACAGTACCATAAAAGAACCTTCACCATTGGCACTTGCAGACAACTATTTACAAAAAAAAAAAATCAATCAATAAAACTCAAATACATGACAGGCATTTTGTTACTCTTCCTATTCTCACTTGTTTTCCCTCTCTATCTCAGGGTGCATGTCAGCAGCGAGATAAGCTGTCTTACTTGCAGCAGTTAGACAGTCCCCTAAAATTACATTCAGGTATTCATAAGACAAAATAGTCACATTCCCGTTCACAATACAGACATATTCAGCATTTACTTCAAGTATGTATTTCTACAGATGTCATTCATGGCCAATGTTCAATATTAGCAATTAGATCATTAACAGTTTTGTTTTTCTTTTTCCAGGTCGACCTGTGCACCCCCTGTCCCTATGTCCCTCCCAGGCCCGCAGACCTGACCCAGCAGAAGACTGTATTGTACTCCATGGAAGATTTTGCTGGAATGAATCCCAGTGACATCCTCCATTTTCTTCAAACGAACAGACTTACTGACAGCCTCCCTAGACTATACTCTCTTGCATGCTTAGTTGTCACAATCCCAGCGTCAACGGCCTCCGTTGATCGGAGCTTCTCGGCTCTGAAGAGAATAAAAAGCTACGCAAGAAACACAACAGGACCAGTAAGACTGTCGTCCCTGGTACTCCTCGCGATCGAGAAGCATTTGCTGATTGAACTGAAAAGGAATGGGACATTTTCTGACAAAGTCATCAACAATTTTCTGGCAAAGGAGCGGAGGTTGGACTTTATCTTCAAATACCTAACGGACTGGTGAGTTTTCTGTTTACGTAAAAGTTTTGGCTACTCTAGCAGACTGTACTCATAGAAAGTGAATGACCTTACTTTGAAAATGAAGCTATGGGAAAAATGAAAATAATGTGCTCATTCATACATGCTGCTTTTGTTTTGTCATGTTTAGTTGCATTTGTGGGCTATTGATCTGTATTTCGAAATGTAATTTAATGTCACGCCTAAATGTGTTAATTGTACTGTGCACTGACAAAATTTTTATGACTTTTGGCTTATTTTTTATGACTTTTGGACTATTTTTCCTCATAATGCCACTTTTTTCTCATAATGCCACAATTTTTCCTCATAATGCCACAATTTTTCATGTGTCCATAGAATGATTATATCAATAAAGTGCCAGTGCAAAACTGTTTTACTCAGCAATATTAGTGCTGATTTTGTCTATTTACTTGGTTCAAAATGTAGTGCTAGTGGTTCAAAGACCTATTTTCCTTCATAATGCCAATTTTCTTATAGATTAATGTTTCCTGAGTAAGATTATATTAATAAAGTAACAGCAAAACTGTATTTTTCAGCCATACGGGTTGTATGGGCATTAGTCAAACAGTCAGAAATCCGATGTTTTTATTCTATTCTGATATAAAATATGGTGCCAGTGCTCCAAGGCCTACTTTTTCAAAATATTACTTTTCCTAAAGAACTGTGTGTCTGAATAAGATCATTACACAACAGTGCACAACAGTTTAAGTAATTTTTTTTTTGGTCTAATATAAACCATGCAAAACAAAAAAATAATAATGTAGCTTACAAGAACAGTGACTAACAGTACAGTACCACTTTACAGCATCTTACCTAACGTTTTCAACCTTGAGTATGTATTATGCTGCCACAATCAGTGATCTTTGTTATGTTGGCTTTTATTTTGAAGGAAAAGTCAAATGACTTTCCACCTATTGTTGCTCATTTCACGGACCTCTGGTCATGTGACAATGATGCGTTGACCAAGTGTGAAAGAGGCGGTGCACAATCATAGTCACGTGACTATAACATTTCGGTTACGAAACTCCTACATATTTCATGCAGATTATGTATCACCACGTAGACGGATATGTCATGCTCCATGGACGCTACGTTATAACACAGATAAGCGCCTCATGAATATGGAATACCATACATTGCATCTCCTCAGGTTTTGTCACGCTCCCTTATTATAATGCAGATATATTCATATATAAGTTTACTGATTGGATGTAAGATGTCAAAATGTATAAACACGTAATTTTTTACCGCCTGCACACTTGCATTTTTTATGTGTGGATGTGTGATATTTTTACTCGTGCAAGCGACTGCTCAATAGGAGTTTTGACACTATTGGCTTGGTCATTGGGCATTTTGGCACCAAATGCATGCCTCACGGCACTACTTCTGTACACGTAAGAAGATTATCGTCTGCACACGTAAAAATGTCACGTGTCCACATGTAAAATATGCAAGTGCTGACAAATAAAGACGTAATTTCTATGTTTACATGTGTACAGAAGGAATCTTTTTACTTGTGCAGAAGTACTGCAAAATTTGACGTTTCTTACTTGAGTCCTCCTCAAAAAACTGAAGTGGCAATGTGTCTCCTCTAGATGGCGATATTTTCTGATAGGAGCAAGTCTTGCGAGCCTTCATGCTCAAACTGGGAAAGTGTGATTGAACTTTACGTGATTCTAAGTGGATAATACATGGAATTATGCTTATTATCAAAGGTTCTGCAATATAAATGTTTTCTCTATTTTTGAAGAAAAGAAACATTCTTTTTTCATACTCATGGAAATTAAAAATTGGACTTTTACTTGTGGTGGAATCAGTTCCATAGCCAAATATGCTGGCAAGCAGTGTTTGCATTTTGTGTGTTTGTGACAAAGCTATCACTAACCAACAGAAACACTTCTATGTTCTATGTTTTTTTCCAGCAGGGACATCAAAAATTACGAAAATGGAGATACAATGCTGTGTTCCCACAGTGACAGTGCTAGAGAATCTGTTTTTTAATGTAGAAAAGACTTAAGAGATGATTGTGGACTTCAGCAAGGTGTGAGAATCATGCTGCACTTCTCATCGATGGCTTCACAGACAAAGTGACGAGTTGCAAGTGTATGTCTCTCAATGCCGCATTCCCAGTAAAAAAAGCACAGAACTGTTTCCATTTTGTTCAGTAACTGAGAAGAGCAAGCCCCCCCCATCCTGTCCCCACAGCTGCCTCTTTCCCATTCCTCTCTCATTAAACAAGGCACAGAGTTTCCACTTGACTTACTGTCTGACCCAGATATCTTTTGTTGGTTAATTTACTATTGAGTGTTTGAGAGAAGCATTTAGAAATGTATGAAAAACACCGATTCATAATTTCTGTGAGGCATTATCCAAAACTAAAAAGAAAAGACCACACAAAAGTACAATATGTAATAAAACTTAATGAGAAAAATGTTTTTCAAGAAAACATGTAATGTTCTGCTGCATGCACACTTGCAATTTTTTGTGTTTGGACACGTGATATTTTGATGCGTACAGGCTGGTTCGATTGGTCATTAGGCATTTTGGCACCAATATCATGCCATACTGTGCAGACCGATCGCCACCTGGCTTTTGCTACGGTGCATGATGGTTAGTTCTTTTTGTCTGACTTGTGTTGGCGCCATCGACGTGCCACAATGACACATGGCTTTATAATCTCGCCAGTGCATATAGAAAGCCAATAGTGCCAAAACGCCTAAGGAGCCATCTTTAAATATTACGTGTTTAAAATAAAACAATGCGAACTTGCCCCATGAGCTGATTGATGACACCTAATGCCACCATGACAACACAGGACAACCATAAAAGCTTGCACAGACCCCAGTACAGGGCAGAGGTCAGCGCTACTTTGGGCTTTTAAACACAGCTTTAGTTGTATTTGAAACTCAACCCTCAGTTTACCAGGGAGATAGTCCCAGTCACTGTGTCAGACAGGGTTGATCTAGACTTGTTTTTAAACTTTGCATGACACTTTTCCTTACTGTGATGATGTACACATCACAAAGTAAAGACTGATTTTATATACTTACCTGTACTTACCTGTGGACTGATCACCCTTGCCTTTAAGGCCTAAAAAGAGAACTGAGTGGGTTCACCTGAGTTTTACTTACCTGAGTGAGTCCATCCTCTGTAGAAGATGAGGAAAGAACAGAGCCTGATAAGAGGAAATTGTTAACAAGTGTACACTGTAATTGCAAATGAATGTTAATGATGTCATGAATGTGAACAGTAAGTAGAGAATATGAATTATAATTACTGTTGCATGTAAATATATTTAAATATTCAGAGCTCTTGTATTACCTCAGGCCAGTAATGGTTTATTCTAGGGGAGAAGCGACCCATGTATAAGCAGCATTACTGGGGGTACAAGGGGATTCTTTCAGCTTAGTAGTTGACTGAATGTTAGTGAATGTTGGTGATCTGTATGACTTTGCAGTCATTGATCTATGTCTTCTAGTTGTAGAGACTTATTTTCGTTTTGTTTTTTGCTTTTAGTGTGTGCGCTTGTAAATATGTAAATAGCTGTTAATGTTGGTGTGTAAATAAAGGTGACGGGGAGTAGAAGAACTCTTGTGAAAGCCTAACTTTTTCCAGGTCCTCAGACCAATCGCCGGACATTACCCATAGAGTGTGCCCCCTACTACAGCATACTGCTGGGTCGAGGGAAACGCTTTATCACACTTACATTTATACTTCCACAGGCCTATTTTGCCTTGGAGGCAGCATGCATTATAGCATGCTCTGCGAGTTTGCTCACTACTTGTTTGCCAGAATGACGGGTGTAGTCTCTCTTCTAGGGACCATATTTTATCTGAAGGAACAGGCAATTTTTTTTTCATAGTATTTGTCCAAACTAGATGAGTCTATATGTTTACATAACTGTTCATCCATTCTGACAATGAAAACATTATCAGACCAGTCAGGTGCATCCCTACTACACCTCTGTGCAGTAGACTTTTTTCTAGCCATGGGCTTAAGGCAACAGGCCACAATACCTAAACACACTACCGTGGTCTTCTCCTCCGTTCCTTCAACAAGAGGAGGATAAACTACTGGCTTTAGGGTTTGCTTTGAAATGGCCACTCACCTACAGCATAGAGATGAGATGTCCAGTCTGGATAACAGAACCACTTGAAGAATCCAAACTGTACCGGGGGACCAGCCGTATGTCTGGAGAAGTGAAGTTTATTTGTTTGCGCGCAGGTACCAGACACCTAGCCAGCCCGTAAGAAAATGGGCTGATGCAGTTTATAGCTGGACTGATGCCAAGATTAGGCCCAGCCTATACATGACAAGTGACAGGTGTGACAGACATGACCATGTAGGGATGAACAAAAATAGGCGGAACAGAATGTTCAAAATACGGTCAGAGTACAGGCACGCATAACACAGAACATAATGACATATAACACAACACTAAACACATAGCAGTACATTTCTACAAGTGTGACTGTACTGTTACTGTCACTATTCTTGTAAGCTACATTATTGATTAGCGTGCTAATCAATTGCTACATTTACAAATTAACAAATACAATTGCTTACTACAGACTTGATCTGTTTGATTCGAGCCTTAAGCCAAAAAAGCATTTTAGCAATGCTGCATGGATGCAATTTTAGTTTATATTAGACCAAAAAAACGAAGGGTTTCTGATGTTTTGGAAGAAAGGATTTTACTTAAACTGTTGTGCTTAGGAAGAACAGTTTTCAGCCTTAAGAAAAGTAATATTTTGAAAATGTAGGTCTGGAGCACTGAAACCGTATTTTATATCAGAATGGAAAAAACAGCGGATTTCTGACTGACTAATGCCCATACTCACAACTGGAGTGGTCAATGGTCAAGACCCCCCTGTGGGGGTCCTGACCATTGAAGAAAAGGGTAACAACGTATGCAGAGAATCAGATGGACTACACTCTAAGTGTAGAACTACTCTAATTGTAGTGCTCCTATGTGGTCAGTGGAGCTGATAAAATAGACAATGAGTGTAATAAAAACAAGTGGGTGGACTTAATGAAGTGGCTGGTCAGTGTATATAAACACTTATGAATACGTTTCATAACATTGAGCTGTGGTTCTGGGCGGCACATGGTGCAGTGGGTAGTGCCGCCTCACAGCAAAAAAGGGCCTGGGTTCAATTCCCTGGCTAGGTGACCAGGGTCCTTTCTGTGTGGAGTTTGTATGTTCTCCCTGTGTGCGTCGGTTTCCTCCTGCAGTCCAAAGACATGCAGTCAGGCCAAATGGACATGCTAAATTGCCCCTATATGTGTGTCTGTCTGTCTGTGTGTCTGCCCTGCGATGGCCTAGTGACCTGGCCTGGTGACCTGTCCAGGGTGTTTCCTGCCTTCCACCCATTGACCCCTGGGATAGGCTCCAGCACCCCCCATGACCCAGGAGGATAAGCAGCTTAGAAGATAGATGGAGCTGTGGTTCTTGTGCTCTCAACACACCTGATTCAAATATACTAATTAACAAGCCCGTCCTTATGTGGATATGTTAGAGCAGGGAAAACACTAAACTGTGCAGACCTGGATACTGCAGGAGAAGGATTGGGAAATACTACACTGGGCCTTAAATAAGCAGAAAGCACAATGAGCTCACACTCAGCATTTCATGTTTAAAAGCTCAGAATAAGAAGAAAATGCTATGTAGTTTTTTACAAATATAATTTAATGTTTTAGTGTTATACTGTTTACTGTTACATCTGTTATATCTTATATCAGAATCAAGCTTTATTGGCCAGGTATGCTTACGCATACAAGGAATTTGGTTTTGGTTACAGGAGCTCACCGTGCACAGTACCAGACCGACATTTATATGTAATGAATAAAATAGAATAAATATAAAATATAACAAAAAATAAATAAAACATGCATTCCTACCATCACTCAAACACACAATCATACCTGTAAACCTTACATTGTGCAAAGTATGGGTCTAAAGTTAAAGTGCTGAGTGCAGCAGCAGTTAAAAGGGTGTATAGTGGCAGAGAAAGGAATCAGTGAGGTAACAGTCCGATAAGTGGGGTAATAAGGCAGGTAAGTAAGATGCTAGAATAAACACTGGTTTGAGGCGGCAGTTCCAGAGGATAGAGTTGAATCAGATACTATATACCAGTATTTATGAAGTGCAGTTTAGAAGCTGGAATATTGTTTTTGTGTAATATTTTAACTGTTCAAGAGAGTGATGGCTTGTGGGAAGAAGCTCTTTTGTAGCCTGGATGTCCTGATCTTCATCTGGCTGAAGCACCGGCCTGAGGGAAGGAGTTGGAACAGGTGGTGTCCGGGGTGAGAGGGGTCTGTGGAGATCTTCTCTGCACACTTCCTGGTTCTGGAGGCATGCAGTTCCAGCAGTGTGGGCAGCTTAACTCCAATAGTCCTCTCTGCAGACCTGATGATGCGCTGCAGTCTGTGGAGGTCATGCTTGGTGGCTGAACTGCCCCACACTGTGATGGACGTGGTGATGACAGGCTCTATGATGGCTGTGTAGAACTGCACCATCAGCTTCTGGGGCAGGTTGAACTTCCTCAGCTGACGCAGGAAGTACATCGTCTGCTGGGCTCTCTTGATGATGGAGCCGATGTTGCTGTCCCACTTCAGGTCCCTGGTGATTGTTGTGCCTAGGAACTTGCAGGACTCCACTGCCATCACAGTTCTGTCCAGGATGGTGAGTGCTGACAGGGCTGGAGGGCTCCTCCTGAAGTCCACTGTCATCTCCACTGTTTTCGCTGTGTTCAGCACCAGGTTATTGTGGCTGCTCCAACCACCCGTCTGTAAGCAGACTCGTCACCGTCTCGGACGAGACCAATGACTGTGGTGTCATTCGCGTACTTCAGGATTTTGACTGAGGGGTCCGTGGAGGTACAGTCATTTGTGTACAGTGAGAAGAGCAATGGTGAGAGTACACAACCCTGTGGAGTGCCTGTACTGATGATCTGGGTGTTTGAGGTGAACTCTCCCAACCTCACCTGCTGCTCTCTGACAGTGAGGAAGTTGGTGATCCACTGGCAGGTGGGGGTTGGCATGCTGAGTTGGAGTAGTTTGTTGTGTAGCTGTCCTGGGATGATCGTATTTATATATACGTTATATACATATTTATATCTGTTAATTCCAAAAATTGGGTTGGGATAGTATGTGAAATGCAAATAAAACAAAAAGCAATTTATAAATCTACTTTGATTTATTTGAATAAAAACAGTAAAAGACAAGCTATGTAATATTTTATGTTATCAACTTCGTTATTTTTGTAAATATATGTTCCTTCTGAATTAATGCCTGCAGCATGTTCCAAAGATGTTGGAACAGGAGCAAATAACGACGAAAAACACAAATAAAAAACAGTGCGAGATAAAACATCAAATATAATGTTTTGGTTTTCAATTTTTAATACAGGCCAAACAATTTACCAATCACTGCTGTTTTTAATGACATTTCATATAATTCCCAGCTTTTTTGGAATTGAGTTTCTAGGATATCAGGTCAGGTAAATGAATCTTTCTCATTCCAGCCATATACAGGTGTGCAGTTGGATGAAATAGCTTTCTCCAAGGCCTTGGGGCAACATGTAACAGCACAATAAACAAACAGTGCGTAACAAGGCACAAATGTGCTGGTGTGTAATACAGAGAGTCTTTCACATGCAGCAGCATACTAAAATAGTAAGTGTCTAAGCAGCATAATGGATTCCTAAAGTGTAAAGAGGGTGAATAAAATAAGTGGCCATTGCCTCTGTTCATAATAGGTATAATTAACATATGAAATATTGTAATCACACATAATTTCAAAACTCTTTGATACCACAATTTTAGTTAATCCATTACTATGAGTACTGATATTATTCTATCCATTATTATTATTTATTTTTGTGTTTAAATGTACACCTAAATATGCAAGAAAATGTGTAAACAATAGTTATTGCGTATGTACTTAGGCCTACAAATAAACATGAAATACTTATTTAATAATTATAAAATCCATAATCATTACAATAAAATATATTTTGTTTTGGAATGAGACTTGTGTAGTAGGCTACTCTTAGATTTTAGTTTGAATCACGCTTTGTTTTGACAGTGGTCCTGTCAGTCATAGTAGTACTTTATTTGACCTCATTTGGTTTTGTCTCATGATTTTAGGCTATACTGTACTGTACCTGACTGCGCATTTTATCCACAAAGTGCGTCCTGCTTAGTCCACTTCAGCTGCCCACATTCAACAATCAAAATAATCAACCATGTGTTGGTTTTGAAGAGATGAAGGAGAGAAGAGAACTCTGGCTTAAGTGTTATTTCTGTTTTCTATGAGATACATGAAAAACAACCTGGTGGTGTCCAATAGTCTTTAATGGTATTTTCTGAGTTCAGACCATGACTTTAACATGTGGTGGTAGTATGAGGGAAGATTGTTTGAGGGAGGGGGAGAACTCTGAGAACTTGGGCTGGAGTTCTGTGAGGCTTCTGCCTGTAGCTACAAGGCCAGATGCCCCCTCATAGCTGTAGTAAGACTGATGTTGGACTGAGGAACAGGAAGGAGATCGGTTGGTGGTGGGGACTGCAAACCCTTCGTCACAGGAG